GAATCCCATTTCTCTTAAAGGTTTTTATTTTTGTGGTAATACTGCCTTTTGATGTTTTCACATCACTCAATGTTGTTTTCATGATATTGCCGCTTCAAACATACTCATAAGGTGGACACATCCAATAGTTGTCGTTTTCGCGGAAAGTCCAAGTATTACGCTGGAGGAAAGTCAGGAGCTCACTAAAGACATTAGGATTAATCCCCTGGGAACCAAGAATGTGAATAAAAACTTGAATGGAAATCCATCTAAATGCTATTAAAACATTTCAGTCCAGTCCAAAGTGATAGACTGGTTCCAGTTTAACATTGCCATCCCAAGAATCTAGCCCATGGATGTCTAAAAACATCAAAGAGTGAAGCACTTTATTGAAAAAGCCCTCTCTTCAGATTTAAACTGAAGAGACACAGACCGAGATACAGACACAGTTTGACAGAGAAAGCATCAGCTACTGGTCAACCTGCAGCCCTCAGTGGATTTGGTCAATTGTGTCGAAACTCAGCCTTTTTGGTTTTGTGGTCCATGCCGGTTTAGCCACCCGACAGATATCAGCAAATATTCTCCTTCAAAGGGTTTGACCCTGTGCAGTTATGGGCGGTTGTGTGTGAGTTAATGAGTGTTTGAGTCCGCACATGTGTGTTGTGAGAGTGGACCGAGAGATCCAAAGATTTGCTGAGCTGAAGAGGTTGAGCCAGGAAGATTATAGAAAGGGTGAAAAGGCCAACGTGAGATCTGTCTTCATATGTACAGCAAGCACCGTCTCCACTCTTTAATAAGCTGAAGTGAAAATATTGTGTGTTACTCAGTTCTTTTGTTGCCAATTCTTTGATTTCACATCGAAATTCCACTTCATCTCCTCCGCACAGCCTTAGGGACACCATCCAATTGATTTTAATACGGAATTTGTAAGACTCTTAGCGGGTCAGATGTCTTGCCAGTAGAGTCGCTAGTCGTTTTGCAGTCAGTAATAAGATTGCCAATGCTTGGCCAAAGTGGTTTTTACATGGAGCTGTGAAGCGTGCCGCCTTCAAAGCTCTGAGGCATTAGAGTCGATGGTTGTAGACTAGGGCGCAGGTGTGTATGTGTGAGCAATAACGGGTGAAGATTTTGCTCAAGGACTGTGCCTAATGTGAGACTTTATCAATGGACCAACAACTTTTAGTAGCAAGGGAATTTCTTTTGCCAGTTTATCTTGCTTTGTTCATAAGACATTGCATTTTAAGGTGTCATTTCCATTCAAATTGCTTTCACTGCGTTTTGTCAACATAGAGCAAGCAAAGAAATATAATTAACTGTTTGCTTTTCAAATCACAAGAAAACCAAGTCAGTCACCCCGTCAGCCAATAGCCCGACTGAATATGGAGGTTACAGATGTTAATTTACCAGACTGTTGGACAATTACCCTTTTGTGGCAGAAGCTCCCCACACCATTCCCCTCAGTGGTTGAGAGTAGCTTCTCCGCTCTGGCTAATTCAAAATGAACTGTTGGGATGTTTACCAGTTCTGTTTTGTAATTAAGTGTCAAGGCGCAAAATTAATAGACCAGAAAGAAGTTGTGGAAAATGCAGAAAACGAAGAGACATTGTCACTCAATCAAGAGTCAAGAACGATATCGGTCAACTGTCTTTGTTTTGCATGACTGTTTTTCTCTTTGTTTTGTAATAAAATGTAAAGTGCAGACATCTCCTTTTAAACTGATGTGTGCTTTCTTAAGCCCACGTTCAGCTCTCTGGACCCTTCATAACGAGATGAACTGCGTCCCCTTGCGTCCTTTCTCTGCTCCCATTCTCTTGGCTTCAATAAATGAGGTTGTCTGTCTATCTGTCTTTCTGTCCGTCCTGATAATTACCCTTGGTGTGTGGTGCTGGTGCCCTCCGGTGTGCTCCCGGACCTCTTTGATACATTTGGCAACTGCTCTAAGAACTGTTGTCAGGGCACCTCTAGTGAATGTGGCTGCCTTAGACTTGGCGTGTGTGTGTGTGTGTGTGTGTGTGTGTGTGTGTGTGTGTGTGTGTGTGTGTGTGTGTGTGTGTGTGACTGTACTATACACAAGCATTGCTAGATGGTCCAAATAGCGAGTCAGCTCCACAGCGCGTGATGTGATTTAGCACGGAGCCATTGGCAGTCAAGCTGTGTGTGCTTCAGGTGTTCTCAGAGGGAATGGAGAAAGAAATACTCCCCGCCACGATGCACACTGTTTTTAAATGCTCCCTGGTGATTTATTAGGAAAACCTTTCTTCAGACCGCCCACCTTCACTTTGCTACTTTAGAACCTATGGGTACAGAGTTTGTGTGCAGACTCAATGCACTCAGTGCTGAGGTGGCAGGAGAGCAATTTGGAGTGGATTTAAAGTGGCCATTTGAGATTCACAGTAGATCATTGCTAAAGAAGTCATGCATTGGTGTATGTGTCATAAAAGAAAAACAGCACCCATTCTTTCTTCCGTCTCCTTCCTCCTCCTCCTATGCATCTCTCTGAACTTATCAAGGTCATTTCACTTAGAGAGGCCAGTTCTGCAATCACGCTCCTTGATTGCGCTGTTTATTTTTAATCAGGATCTCAGACAGGACAGCTTCTTAAACAGCCCATCCCCTCACAGCGCAGCAATCACTGCATTTGTCGTTCCTTATGTATTACTACAAACAACCTTAATTGGCTGCTCTTTCTCCCTCGACTACACTGCTGCGCTTGAAGAGGACGCTCAGGATTATTAGCGCTTTTTTAAAAGCAGACTGAAATTAGCGATGTAAATGAATTCTCAAGATTGTGATTTGATTAATTTATAAACTACGGTTTCAAGATGGATGTGCTCCTGTTCTCTCAGTGTTGTTGGTCCCCTGCCCACTGGTGTTTATGTCCGAGCTGAGCTTTATTTACGCTGCCCACCTGCGTACCATCCAGCAGCGGTGTATGTCCAAGTGGCTTTTGTCTTCTCCTAAAGCCAGGAGCTCAGGCTGCTCATCTTGTCACATCCGCAGATCATATTGCCAGCTCCCCGGGCCTCCTGTGGCATCTGCTCTTTGCATTGGCTGCAAGATAAATGAGGTGTTTGCTTTTCTTTGGCAGAGCGGTACCTTTCAGAAGGTCAACAAGGGTGGCTTCGCTGGGGAAAGGGGGCTCTGTTGATGTGGCTCAAACCTCAGCTCTTTAAAGGGCCAGCAGCTCTGAATGTGTCAGCCCATTACCCACCAATCATGTATGCTTTAGCTTAGTGCCAAACATCTCCCAAAGCTGTCTATAAGTATGTAAATGGATTCCAACTATCCCCACAGCCACTGGTTTCACTGCTCTAGATGATGAAAGTCCACTAAGAGATGAGTAATCCATCAGGTGAATATCTCATCTAATTATCCTCTTTTTGTAAAACGGTAATGGATATTTAAAACCTTTGTGCATGTATGGAAGGTTCAACAAAGATGTCCACATTATAAAGAAGAATTATCAAAAGCAAAGCATTTCAGTGAAATAATTACATTCCCAACTAACATTAATTGAAAGTGTATATGCTGCATCATTGCTTTAGGAAACTGACTATCAGCGAGCTTGAGTATTTCAATCTTTTTCTTTCAATCCTTAGAAGGCTTTCTCAGTTTGACTGTAATTGTATGAGTTGCCTTGAATATGGCACCCACATCAAGACCAGCAGCTCAACATTTTCAGTTTATCAGTGAACTATTTCAACATTTACTTCTAAGAAAATGAGTCAGAATTACTCTGACAATAACCTGACTTTAATTTTGGGTGAAATGGCTCAGTATCTATTGTATGGACATTAAAAGGCTATGTGGCATAGTCTGACTTACAGTAATAATGAAGTAACATACAATGTGTGTTTGCTGTGAAAGATTAGAATAAAGTGGAAAATCAAAGTGTTATATATAATCAGAATCAGAATACCTTTATTAGTGATACGAGGAGTGAAGCAGGTAGGACCCAAACGCAGATAATACCTTTATTTCAAGGGCTCTTATCGAAAATCACTTGGAAACACAAAACACTCCACGGTGAACTCATTCACCAACAAAAGACGAACCAACACTGAACACAGGAAGAGACAAGACTAAATACAGGGAGGGGTAATCACAAGACGAAAAACAGCCGGGCAGGGGAGGAGAAACACAAGGGCCACAGGTGAACACAATCAGACAACTAGACACATCAGGGAAACTAACGACAGGAGGGAAAAGGACCAGGGGGGTATACTACGAAGCTGGTTCAACCTAACCTGGATATGTTTGAGTTAGCCGGTTGGCCTAATCCAAAACATACGCGCTCTCGCTAAACGGTACTACGACGCGGGTTATCAAGTGGATCGCTCAAGCCAGCCGTGCCCTATCTAGTTAGGTGCGCGTTCACATGAAATGAGTGGTATTTGGAGCATTCGATCAATCACAAACATGGAGAAGCATACTGACAGCGCAGCGTCATACTTCCTGAATAANATTTGTTTACTGCCTATAGTAATCCACATTGGAAATGATTCAAACCTGAATTGTTACTCTATCCCTTAATAAGTTATAAAGAGGCCCTTGGAAATAAGTGGTAACATAAGTTGTGGTCAAAACTTTGAGACCACTGAGATGAACTAGACTAGCTGAGAAGAACGGAATCTAAACAGCTTCGTCCCCCGTGTTCCTCACTCGAGCCCCGTCGTCAGCCGCTCTGACAAGAGAGCTCTCCTTCCACCCTGGTTGTAAGAAACATCTACTTCTTATATCCGTAAGCGCAGCTAGCACCAGATCTAATAACCAACAGCGCGCGGTACAGTCGCCCGCCCTCTCTCTCTCTCTCTCTCTCACTCTTGCTCGCTCTCTCGCTAGCCACGGCTCCCCACCTTAGCCGTGAGCGCGGGGGCGCTGATAAGCCCACATCCCCCCCACTTTCATCACTTACCAGCGCGCCCACCGTACAAGCAAATAAACATGTTAACCGCCGGTGAAAAGGGTGTTACATTTACTTAATATGAATGTGCGGCTGACATCAAGGCCGAACATCTTGGATGAGAGTGGCCAACCGTCAAAAATGTGTTTCCCTCCAGAGCTACCAGCGCAGCGCCCCCAGATCTGCCGCCGTAGGCGACCGCCTGTCGCGCATCATGCGAGACAGAAATCTGGCCCCTCGCCTACCCTGGTCACATTACAGGTGGCAATGTCTCAAGATAGCAAAAATACACCCCCTTTATTGAACATACAGCTAAGTAACACAAATACTACAAATCCACATAACAAACAATCAAAAATGAAAAAGGGTCGCCACTTATTATTATTTTAAGAAAAATAAAAAAAAGTGTCTGGCTGCCTGGCGCCCCCTAGCAGCGGCGCTCATATTTCAGCAGCGGCGCTGTGCCGCCACTATTTGTATATAGGGGAAACACTGAATAGCGTGTGCCTAGACATTTTTCAGGGGCGGACTAGCGATCTGTATAATTCCCCGCAGCAAGGCTCCCCCGTTGACAATCCACTAGCGCAGTGTTTCTTAAAACCTTTTCATACCAAGGACCACTTAACCAATAAAAAAACACTCACGGACCACCTAACTCCACACATATCCAAAAACAATAGGCCTGCTTACCACTCCAACAGTACATAACAGCCTAATAATGACAGCTTAACCTTCTCTACATCGCCTCGTTTACAAAATAAATCAACAATACAAATGCAACTACAGATTATATAAGCATTTAGTTCAAATGCGATTTGAAATGCTCTCAGGTTTTACACCTACAGACTACATTTATTACATTACATTACATGTCACTTGTTAGACGCTATTTGGGGGGAAGTGTCTTTCCCAGGGACATAATGACATGCTGACTGCAGTGGGGTTTGAACCTGTGACCCCCTGATCCGAACACCGACACTCAACCCACTGCACCACAGGCCTGCCTATGTTTATGTCCGAGCCAACAGACTCACAGATCGTTGGCTACTGAGGGAAATGCAAAATACACCGCATGTAGTTCGACACAAACCTCCGCTGTGGATTTTCAAAACAAAATACAGTAAACTATGGTCGCATGCCCAAATGTAACTCTCTGAGGTCTGCATGGTCTGCCTACAAAACAAAAATAAAAAAATGTTTATGCATCCCCAACAGCTCTAACAGCCTCTGATCATCAACAGACTTCATGCAATGCTTCATCGGTGCATATATTAGATAATAATCTCTATCTCACTCCTAACACATCTAAATCTACTTTCAGCATGGATAAATGTTCATAAAATACATCCATTGTTTGCTCTATATGCTTCTTGAAATCCAAAAAAACACATCGTTTTTCTAGAACAGATTACACTTAAACTCGCTCCATTGAGGAGATAATCCCGCGAGAGTGCGGAAAACTTAAATTAATTCACTAGCACCCACCCCCCTTGACAGGGGTCGCCAGTGTCTGGCACTGTTATTTTGGGGGTTGCGGGCTGAAAAGTTTGGGAACCCCTGCTCTAGCTAATCCGGTGATTATTTTTCTCTGTGCCCTGAAGGTCTGCTTGGCCTCCTCCTCTCCCTCCACCTTCCACTTTGTCCTGGTCAACTCATTGCACAGAATTATCACTAATGTAAGTCTGCAGAGCTTCTCCATGACTGAGTGACGATGGAATCATTTGACGTGTTAATTGACTCGTATCCCTCTGACTTCCTTCAGTCCCACCTGGACTGGTGGCCTAAGATCGAAGCGGTGTACTGCTACTCCGGAGAGCTCCGTTTCATGTTCTCAGACACGCTCAACAGGGTGATACAGGGCGCCGCCACCCACGCTCCTCTACGCATGACACCCGTGAGAGGACTTTACACTACTACAGAACTATTATTTTAACTTTTTATTATTTATTTTTTATTATGCAAATTCTTATTGGACATTTGTTACTTTAAGTTCTGTTTGTATAAGTATATTTATTTTATTTTTGCCATTATTACTTTAACTACTTTTGTTTACACAAATACATATTTTTTGATTATTTTAACTCTAAATATAAATAAAATATTAGTTTATTACATTTTTTTTATTGGACTTTTTATTTTTGTATGCATCTCTTTATTTTATTATATATATTTTTCATACTTCAACTTCTTATGTTTGTATTATTCTATTTGATTTGATATATATGGAATCTACTTTGTCCCAGGATAAATCAAGTGTTTTGATGCTGATTCTCCGTGTGTTCTGCTGCCCCCCCCACAGAGTCTGACGTTCAAAGGGAAGATAAGCACCAGCCTTAAGTACAAAGAGAAAGCCACAGAACTGGACACTCGAAGCTACAAGTGCCTCCTCCTCGCTCTGGTCAAACTCATCCACGCCGACCCCAGACTCATGCTGCATGTGAGGCTCAGAAACCACTCTTTATTGATACGTTTAATAATGATTAGCCTTAGGTTGACTTCTTTTCTTGCAGCCAGGTTTTGACGCACCTATTCCCCAGAGATGTCTGAGTATTTCGTGTCAATGTTAGTTTATGAAATGACCACCAGCTTGTGTCTCTGTGTGTCAGAACCCGGTGAAGCAGGCTCCAGAGATGCAGAGCAGCACGGCGGAGCTCATCACTGGCCTGGTGCAGCTGGTGCCGCTCACCAACACCACCCAGCTGTCCCAGGAAGCCATGGAGGTCAGACCCGCCCCCACCCGTTCACTAAACGCACTACTAACACTTCTCTTATTATGGCAGCCAACAAGGGAACAATTTGAGAGAAGAATTTCAGTTGCTCAGGATACATTTTTCCCAACTCTCCTTTCTAATTATTAGATTTTCAATAGCCGCTTTCACACCAAGTACTTTGCAGCACTTAGTTCCCAGCACTTAGTTCCCAGCACTTAGTACCCCCATGGAACTAAGTACAGATCGTGTTCACACCGGAATAAATTCCCTGAGGGAAGATTACGCAAATGAAGGCGCTGACGTCACTTCTTCTTCTGCTTTGGGTTTACTGGCAGGCCGCAAACCACTTCACGGCGTATACTGCCACCCGAAGTCCCCGACCGGAAGTCCCCGGAGTTGGGGACTGGCTTCAGTAGAAGCTGCTGGGACTCCCATCAGCTTCTACTGAAGCCTTCCGAGCAAATCACCAGAACACCGACACCTCCTCATCTCCACCGCTCCCATGTTTTTTTTTGTGTTGCCATAAGTTATACTCTCTCCGTTGGTGCGCTGGGCTAATGCTAATAATGCCAATGCCAGCAAATACAATGGCGGCTTAAAAAAACNGTCTTTAGGACGTTGTTGTGAGTGTGGACGGAGCAGCTACAGGTTAGTTTAGCCTGATTCATTCATTCAGAAAACACGCATTTTAAAAGGTTTTTCGCTTGCCGTCTTGTCTGCAGACTTGGCAAAGCATTAATTCATGTTTTTTACTAACCGGTATCAGTATGTAGTTACTTTAGCATCATTTTGAAACGTGTATTACAATTAAATCACTGTAAAATGGGTTAATTTTGTCGTAGTTGGTTTCCACCACAGTATTTACATTGAAATAAGCCCCGCCCGCTCTCCAGCGCGTCCTGTTTGAATGACAGGAGTAAACACAGCTGACAGCCGCGGTGAAGCTCCAGCGGGTAGAGCGATGAGAATATTCGCATCGCGTCCGTTGTTGACGCAGCATAATGCAGTTCAGAAAACACTGTTCTGGCGCTTTTAAAGCAACTTCGAGATTTTAACAGTGTGAGGGGCACACAGGCCATGGTGGCCGTAAGACGTACAATTATTTGTGGGGCATAACGGCCAGACCGAGGGACTACGACAGCCATGGCCGTCATGGCCGCCGTGAAAATCCTACCCTGGCATTCACACCGGAGTACTTTTCCCCGTACTTTTCCCGTTTAGTTCCATTAGTGCCTGGAATTTTACGTTCACACCAAAAAGAGAACTTAGTTGCGAGAACTTTTACCCCCATTTTTAGTGACTGCTAGAGAGGTGGTACTATCCTGGGGAGAAAAAAGTACCAATTTCTGATTGGCTGGGCGAATTGCAAACCACGCCCCTTAAAACTCTGAAATGTTTTTTTAAGCCGCCATTGTATTTGCTGGCATTGGCATTATTAGCATTAGCATTANGGTATTTAGCGTCTACAGCACCTCCGCTTTTAGGGTTGACGTAGACCCAAAGCTAGTGCAGCAGCTCCCGCAACAAGACCGGGGGACCTCCGGGCGACGTTTGGGTCTACGTCAACCCTAAAAGCGGAGGTGCTGTAGACGCTAAATACCGTAGATAAACACCAATCATACAACAGCAACGATGAAATAGTGTAGCCAATTTAATTTAAGGGGTAATTTCTCAAAATGTTCCCCGTGTGGTTTATTCACCATTACAATAGCCCCACCTAAAATAATTTCCACCAGCCGCCACTGAAAACGCCACTGCGCCCTTGAAACAGACTAATATGGACAGTCAGTCAGGAAACATCACTTCAGACCCTTCACAATCTGTTGCAACAATATTTCATTTTTTTATTTGACTCTTTGTTTTGTCATCTTTACTGTTCTCAACGGTACAGTAGCTTCCTGAGCTGAGAGCAACGAAAATATAATTTCGTGTATATAATATTTTTTTCGTGTAATTTTGGTTATTTTATTTGTGGTGTTTATTTTCAATACTGTGTACATTTATTTCAAGAATGACTAAGATTGAATCATGAAAACAGAAACATCCATTCTTAGCACTGAACACATTCTGATAGGCCTGATCTTACTTTAAGCATGCGGTGTAAACGATCTGCCACTTGCCAGAATTTCCTCCATTAGCAGCGGAAGTCATGAAAATCATGGTCAAAATAAAACAATAACATGAAAACTGTTGCAGTTCATTGAGAAGAACATCTACTCAATTATTATGTGAGTTAATCCCTGCAAATCTGGAGGTTGTTACATCTAAACTACATTTTATTCTGCCTGAAAGCAGATAAAACCACAGAGGCTAAAACTACAGAAAACAGAAACGTTTAACAAACAGAGGTATTTTCTTGGCTGTTTTTTTCACGTTTATGTTTGAAGTGTTTTTTCTCCCTCTGTAGTCGCTTTATCATTCCCAAAAAACATCCATATTTGTATTTATTAATTCGAAAAACATTTCGTAAACAATCGTTACTTTGAAGATTTTGCCTGGAAGTGTTCCGTTTCATTCCCGGTAGCTTGACCCTGGTCTCCAACACCTCCCATCAATTTCTCTGAAGAAGACTTCCGGTGGTGTGTCATGGCGGTGGCATGGTGAAGCCTACAGAAAGGGAAAAATACTCGCCCCTTTCGTCCTTTCCCATCGATTCAGGGCAGATTTTCATTCATAAATAAGTCTGTCAAGCTTCGGCCTCACACCTTGGATTTAGCAGCCCAGCGTTGCGGTGTCCCTCCGCCCGGCCATGGCGGCTCACAAACCAGTGGAGTGGGTCCAGGCCGTGATTACTAGATTTGATGAGCAGGTAAGATGGGTTGATTCTGTGGATGGGTGTAGCAAGCTTAGGTAGTCTCGAGGGCCCCACTACCCCGGCAAACGTTGCATTTACACGGACGACGTTTTAAAATACAACATTTAGGGAGTGTTATCCCGTCGGGACTAGTTTTTCGACAGAAATGTGTTCTGTGTTGCTTGTCCGAGCTGCAAAACACTGAAGATGAGGTCTTTCTAGCTAGCTCCGTCTCCACGATCAATTAGCAGATGTATCCCGCATTTGTCCCGGGATTTAGACGGACTCAGCCGCCCCATTGCAAAAATAATACACAATAAACCAACATGGCAGGGACATTTGGACTTGCTCATAAGCGTCTCTGTGTCAATTAAAGTTCCTAATCTGACATTTTCTTTCGTGCCAGCTAGGTAGCTAACATTAGCAGGCCTAGCTATCTAATGTAAACAAATACGATGTGACTGTGTTAGCACGCTGTATTCATATGAGCTAATGAGGTTAGAGTTATGTGAGGAAACATTAGCAGTAAGAGTGACTGCTGCTCTCCCTGCTAGCTATTTTTTAATGATCCATTATCATGTCAGTCTCCTTGATATTGCAGGTGAAACAACCATAGTGAATGGTGTTATTTTCTCACAAGGACTCTATCTTGAGATATATTTACCATGAGCAATCATTTTCATTGACTCATATCGAAACTGTGAATAGAAATTTCAACAGTGTTTGTAAAACTCCTCTGTTGTTAAATTAAACCTTAACTGAAGAGCCTTCTGTAATAGTCAAGCTATGCAGCCTATATACCCAATATCAGAAATCACAGTCGGATATAGTTAATAGTTAATGTCCTCAACACTCGGTAATCCCAATCAGTTTGCATTTCTACTTTTCTTTGTCGTTTGAAGGGAAATACAAAATAATAAGTGACCACTGCTCTCCCTCCTAGCTATTTTTTTTTTAACATTCTTTATCATGTAGTCTGCTTGATATTGCAGATTAAATATCCATAGTAAATGTTTTTATTTCTCACAAGGAATATATCTCTTGAGATATATTTTACATGGGCTATTACTTTAATTTTCTCATATTGAAACTGTTACTAAATGTCAACAGTGTTTGTATAACCTTAACTGAGGAGATTTCCGTAATAATCAAGCTATGTTTATACCCAATAACAGAAATTACAGTCAGATGGAGTTAATAGTTCATTAATGTCCTCAGCACTCAGTAATCCCAATCAGTTTGCATTAATACAATTCTCTGTCGTTTGAAGGGAAATGTGACCGCCGGTTTGTGTGTGTTAAGTCTTTAAAAGTCTTGGTCTCTGGTGTAAAGTTCAACAGATCATGCACTGAAGCCAGGGTTTAGCCGCTCAGCTTGGATTACTACCATTGGTTTAAGGTGTTGTATCCGCTTCTTGGTTATTGTTATCCTAAGCCCCAACTAAATCCTTCCAGTCCCAATAAATATGCTATTTATTATTGACACCGAACAGTGTGTGGTAAATTAAAAGTACAGTCACACAACAGAAATGATATAGCCTGATCATAATCCTCAGACCATTGTATTTTTAAATGACGATGATGATAGTGACCGTGTTTATTTAAAACTATAGAATATATAATTGAATGTATTATTTTGTAGGTACAGTGTGTGTTTAGTGTTATGATTGGGTTATTGTGTGTGCCTAATGAAAGACATGTACCTGGTTGCTTCTGCATAGTGCTTTTTTGACCCTAGCAGAGGGGTGAAGTTTGAACCGGTCATGTCAAAAGTGTGATTGGTCAACAGTAAGAAGTATACGTGATGCATGGTTTGGACAGTTTGTATTCTGCTCCAGGACTAATAATATGCTCAAGTTCATCGGCAGCAGCATCCAACCAACACCAATTTCTAATACAAACAAAAAAGAGGTCACCAAATTGAAAACATCTGGCCCTCATGCTGTTTATTTTAATTTTATTTGAAGTTGACATTGGGATTTTTAGAAAACAGATCAAGTCACGGGGCACTGGGTGCCATTTTTGAGAGTTTTTGTATCTAGACTGAAATCGGTTAAATTCACAATAAATGACTGCACTGATGTCACTGAATATTTTTCAAGACACCACATCATTGATCTATGCCAAGATAACTGTCATTTACACATACAGTGGGGCAAAAAAGTATTTAGTCAGCCACCAATTGTGTTTTCACACACTGTTGCTGGTATTTTGGCCCATTCCTCCATGCAAATCTCCTCTAGATCAGTGATGTTTTGGGGCTGTCGCTGGACAACACGGACTTTCAACTCCCTCCAAAGATTTTCTATGGGGTTGAGATCTGGAGACTGGCTAGGCCACTCCAGGACCTTGAAATGCTTCTTACGAAGCCACTCCTTCGTTGCCCGGGCGATGTGTTTGGGATCATTGTCATGCTGAAAGACCCAGCCACGTTTCATCTTCAATGCCCTTGCTGATGGAAGGAGGTTGTCACTCAAAATCTGACGATACATGGCCCCATTCATTCTTTCCTTTACACGGATCAGTCGTCCTGGTCCCTTTGCAGAAAAACAGCCCCAAAGCATGATGTTTCCACCCCCATGTTTCACAGTAGGTATGGTGTTTTTTGGATTCAACTCAGCATTCTTTCTCCTCCAAACACGCCTAGTTGAGTTTTTACCAAAAGGTTCTATTTTGGTTTCATCTGACCATATGACATTCTCCCAATCCTCTTCTGGATCATCTAAATGCTCTCTAGCAAACTTCAGACGGGCCTGGACATGTACTGGCTTAAGCAGGGGGACACGTCTGGCACTGCAGGATTTGAGTCCCTGGCGGCGTAGTGTGT